GACGATGACGTGTAAGTTGAATAAATTCAGTTTTACAATAGAGTAAAATTGTCCGAAAACTTTAAACGCGTTTTCAAAACCATGTTTTTAAAGTCAGTTATAATGATAACTTGAAAATGGATCAACCGATCTGCCTTTTTTTTTTAATAAAAACTTATAAAATTATCTTGTTGTTGTCATATCCGATTTTTAAAATTCTAATTTTTTCTATTTTTTTTAAACAAACAAAAATAAAAATTTTTGCCGAAAATAGGCATTGTAACTTTAAAGGTCCGCCATTTTGTTTAAAATTCAAATTTAAAAAATCGGATATGACACGATAAGGAAATTTATTCTTCTTTAAGATTTGATTTTTGTGTTTCAGATGAACGGACAAGGAGAAATTGTAACTGTGGAATCATATATGGCGTGCACGGCCGACTACACAACGGTGAAGGGCAGGGAGGGAGGATTTTTCAACAAAATCATTGTAACAAAATTTGTATGAGAATTACAAAAGGTGTACTTTATTATGCAAAAAGTCACATTTTTATAGTTTATCTCTTGGCTCTAAAAAAAATTCATGAAAAATGCCTTTTCTTGTGGCTCCAAACGTATATGTCTCCTTAATACCACAAATTAAATACTATTCGGAAGTCTAAGACTTGCAAATTACTGATGGCTATAATGAGTTACTATAATGGGTTAAATTTAATCGGATACTTCCGATTATAATGACATTTCATCAGATCAGGGTTGGGTAAGTTAACTTTTTTTTTAAGTTAAGTAAGTTAACTAAGTTAAGTTAAAGTTAACCCAATGAAAAATTTTTCATATATAATTATATAAAATTATATATAATTATATATAATTATATATAATTATATATAATTATATATAATTATATATAATTATATATAATTATATATAATTATATATAATTATATATAATTATATATAATTATATATAATTATATATAATTATATATAATTATATATAATTATATATAATTATATATAATTATATATAATTATATATAATTATATATAATTATATATAATTATATATAATTATATATAATTTTATATGATTATATATAATTATACATAATTATGTATGGACAAATTTCATACAAAATTTTGCATGAAAAATTTTTCATTGGGAATGGCTTTGAAAATTTAATTTAGTTAAGATAAAGTTAACCCATAATGAAATTAATTGAATTAAAAGTTAAGTTAATAAAAAAAAAGTAATTAAAAAGTTAAAAGTTAAATTTGTTTCTTTTTACGACTTCAGGGTTTCAGTTTTACAAATAACGGACAAAAAAAAATATACATCTTATTTGGAAACATGTTTTATTTACAGATACTTATTAAATTTAAGTAATAAATTTTTTCGAAAGGACTTCACACTAATCATAAAAAAAGTGATTTCAGTCGAATTGACTGAAACTATGATATTTTGTAGCTTATGAGCCCTAATAGAAATTTATGCAGTTTTACTAGACATTAAGACTGCGTTTGGAAACATACTGTGTGCACACTACTAGACGATAGTCGTTCGGAAACACTTAGGCTGCGTTCGGAAACATCACTCGAGTACTCTCTTTCTCTTTTGATTCTTGTATTTCGCTCACTCCAATGGCTATCGTTTAGTAGTATGCACACAGTGTATGTTTCCGAACGCAGCGTCAGTGTGGCTCGATATGCACTCATGTGAGATCGTTCGAAAACGGAGAGAGAGGCACACCGTGTACCACCAAACTACTCGACGAAAAAGCGAGGAGAGTCGGTGTGAACTGGTTTACTAGTTTAATTACTAGTTACCTACGTTATATGTTCGAGTTGCTTGTACTATTCACACTTTTACACCTAATGCCCGTTGCACACTAGTGCACCTCATACAATACAAATTTTCGAAAATACGTTCTGAAGACGCTTTTAGTACGGAGGGATGTCATCAGAATATTTTTAGGACGTCCTTTGAAGATGTGAGCTGTCTGAAAATAGCTAATATCCAATAAGTTTATTCGCATTAATTGAACTTTTTACACTTTCACACTTAGTGCACATTAATTCTTTAGAGGTTCTAAAAATGACGTCATAAGTTCCGTTCGTGTTACGAGTGTAATTGCAATTTTGATACACTTTTTACACTTGATCTCAAGCAAGAGTGAAAAGTGTATCAGAATTGCATTTACACTCGTAACACGAACGCATGACGCTATTTTTAGAACCTCTAAAGGATTAATGTGCACTAAGTGTAAAAGTGTAAAAAATTCAATTAATGTGAATAAACTTATTGGATATTAATTATTTTCAGACAATTCATACTTTCAAAGGACGTCCTAAGAATATTCTGATGACATCCCTCCGTCCTGAAAACGTCTTCAGAATGTATTTTTGAAAATTTGTGTTGTTTGGAGTGCACTAGTGTGCAACGGGCATTAGGTGTAAAAGTGTGAAAAGTACAAGCAACTCGAACAAACCTATGGTCTATTCTTTTCAGTTACATTGTTGAATTAGTGCAATAAGTTAGAGTGAGAAAATGAGTGAGTGATGAAGCTGAAAAGAACAAACCAATAACCTTTTCGTTTTCGCATCACTTCACAGTACAAAAATAGAAAACAGATCTCTAGTTTACACTAAAAGTCACACTGGAAAACGTTCGAAAACACTCGACACACGAAGGCACACGATATCCCCACTACTTTCTCACTAAACCACGAGAGAGTGATGTTTCCGAACGCAGCCCTAATCAGTCACTGTCTAGTATTACTGCATTTTATAGTTGTATCGAAACTGCGCAAAAACTGGAAAGGAACTAAACATAGTTTTATTAAGGAGGTTTTTACATTTGCCGGCCGTAAAAATAGCCTATTTTTACGAATTTTTAAAAGAAAATCTATTATATATAGGAAGATGTGGTTTTTTTCATGGAATTGTTTAACATTTAAACTCCAAAAAAAATTTTTTTATTTATAAAAAGATGCGTTTTAATACTTCCAAATAGCGGTCGAATTAGCGGTCATCAGAAAAACACACCTCCATGGCGGAAGTGATTCAGCTTCTGCAAATTATCTGAAATCAAAAAACTGATAATTTTTATTAATTATATGAGTGCCGCCATGTTTGGTACTAGAATGAAGTCGATAGCATAAAAAATACGGCATTGCAAAAATGTTTGAATTTTTCCAAAAAAAATCTGTTACCTTTTTACTTATAAAAAATCACATTTTTGTTGTAAAAACTTAATTCTAGTACCAGACATGCGCAAAAGTGTTAGGATAAAGAAAAAAAAAACCCAGCAGGTTATCTTTATTGGTTTTTTAGTTATCACTTTCGCCAACTCAAAAAACATGGTTTCGAGAAAAACGCGTTTAAAGTTTTAGTTCGACTTTTTCACGTATAACTAAAATTTTAGCGTACTTATAGTTACTTATGGTTTACTTACGGTTATTCTGCAATACCAGAGTCATATAATAAACCCTCTGCTTCTTCAAAAAAATCGTTTTCTGCCAATTTCTCCAATCATCGAGCTGTTCTGGTTTCTTTTGGTGAATTTGACGTGTGACGATTTGTCTGTCTCACGCGTTGATTATCCTTTTCTTCGGCACATAGATTCGCTAATATTCCAATACGGATTTCCAATATGTTCATTATTTTCAATAAACTTTTAAATCTGTCATTGAATGTGCAGGTTGCCAAAAATGCTGCGACAGATATAATTTTTGCACCAGAGAAGACATGTTTCGGCGCAAAGTGTCAGAGAACTCTGTTATAACTCTTGTTATTATTTTGTGTATGTCCCCCGAGATATCGCGTTAACAAAGCATCATCTGACAAATCTTCATAAATTTTATAAATGACAGTTTGAACTTCAGAAACCAGAGGTGGATCATGATGATAATTTTGAAGTGTGCCGTTAGTTTGCGCGTCGAGCCAGCTGCACCAAGAATCTGACCCTGGAGAACAATGAGAATGCATGGGCTCTTCATCGGTTGATATTTTATGATAATATGTCGCCCATACTGCATTTTCCATGTCCTGTAAAGACTCTGTGTTTCGTCGTATCGCCAATCCATAATAAATAGTGAGATCTTTAATTAATTTTTCTGTTAATTTTCCTGTTCCCTTTCCACTAATACCTTTATGCGATTTTTTGGCGTTTCTCAATCTACTCCCCATACGTTTCTGTGCAATACATTCTTTTTTTTTACCGGTAATTTGTCTCCGTATGGGTTTTCATTGAGTAAATTTTTAAAAGTTTTGCTGTCTCTATCGCCTATATAATTTTCGTACATAACGCCGTGTAAATCTTGTAAACGTTTGAACATTTCAATAATTCCGTCGACTTCCATTTTTTCAGCGCTTCCTGAATGATTAATCGTGCAGTTCTATTCGTGTTCCTCTTGCCACAATAACTTTTCTATAGAATGTAACGTGGCGATTTCGCCGTCACCAAGATCAGCGGGGAGACGAGGAGAGCTGTGCTCGCGCCCCCTTCTTCCACGGGAAGGGCGGCTGCGAGGAATTTGGTCTCGCACGCTTTTACGTGCGAGATCGCGTACTATAATTTTTTTGTTATTTTTGTTAATTGTGTGCTCGGCGGCGACGAGAAAGACGAGGTGCCCGCTCGAAGCGAGGCGACGGCGGACCTGCGGAGGACGACCAGCCGAGCGGGGCAGGATCCACCCCTCGCTATCACAAGCGAGGGGGCCCCGACCAGATTGCAGCGAGGCGCCAGGAAGGGTTGACCATAAGGACCAGATCCCGGGGGACGCCCTGGGATACCTCAAGCTTTTGACAGCCACCTGAGCGCCCACGCTAAATAGAGCTGCCGTCAGAGACAGGATGCCGTCAACATAGAATCGGAGAATTCGGCGGGTCGCGCGGGCCCTGTAAGGCGCTCGCGCTAGAGCCGTACGTTCCCGCAGGACCAATGAGACCTAGCGGCGATCGGCGGCTGATACCGCGAGTTAAGGAGCCTCGCGCTCGCGAAAGGACTCGTCACTGTGCGGCTAGCGAGCAACGTGTACGCTGGACGAAATTCATGAGCGAGCGAGCGACCACCGTACGGCGAGCAAACGAGAAATAAGGCGAACGGACCAGCGGAGAACGAGAGGCGAGCCCGGCAAGGGGATTTTTGGTGAGCCGTCTTACATCTGTCGTTCAGCCCGAGCGGGGAAAGATCGGAATGGTTGCCGTCGCTTCACGACGGCTGCCGGAAGGGTTCGTCACCGCCCGCGACGGCCCATTTGACCTCGCGAGGGAATAGCCGCCCTTACCGCGCTGCCTGCTGCCGCTTCACCGCGTTCGCGACCGCACAGTACGGCGAGCGAGAGCGTAAATATTGTAATGACTCGAGATCATCGTTAGAAAGTGCGGGTTCCCGAGAGTGGCGATAAATACGCGGTTCGCGACGAGACAATTAGGGCCGGGATGCACCCGGCTGGCGCCCACGGCAATAAGTAGCGTATCGAGAGAATTCCGCGAGCCTCGTGCCGTTTGAGCTCCGCGAAGCAGAAGGATCCTCGACGACGGATCCGGCTGCCGAATGATTTCACGATTACGCGACTCGGAGCCCGCATACCTTTGTAGTATCTTTCTTTGTTGTTTTTTTTTGTGTAAATATAGAGTAATGTTAAACGATACGTGTGTGCATTTGTGATTCCTCCGACTCTGTCGCCTGTTCCTCTCGTATCGCGCGAAGGAAGGTCGCGCGTCGGCACAAGAACCCCGCCGCTCTACCGAGAGATAATTTTTGAGAGCTGCCGGCAAGCTCGGCCGTCGCCGCAACGGCGGAGACGAAGTTTTGGCCGTATTCTCGCGTCTAACCAACGGAGAAACGGTCACAAGAATCATCGTGTTTTCGAAGTGAACATGCTTTACAGAAGCTAGATTTGATCACAACATCTAGTACCTTGTTTCCGATCAATGTAATAACACCAAATAAGGATGAGAAGCCTCGTTTGCTCCATGTACCATCACCAGATATAGTTAAATGTAACGGTTCGTTTCCTGCTTTTGTATTTTCATCGATTTCTTTTTTTGTGGCATTTTTCAAACTAATATCGTGCACAGCTTGCGCGGCTGTGTAAATGTTGTCCATAGCAGTATAGTACATACTTGTAGTAAAGCCGTTACATAAGTCCATTAAATCACAAAATATATTTAAGCCACTCAGGCCAATGCCCAAAATGCGCAACACAAACATTAATTTCAAACGATCGATTGTTAATAAGTGGACAAGACTCGATGCTTTCTGTATTGCAGCTACACTCAACGATTAATCTAAATCCTAATCCCATTTCTCTAGTTTTACCGAAACGAACTTCTGTTTTACATTTTTTGCACATCAGTATTTTAGTTAATTTAGAAAAAATCGATAAAAAGCTAATAATGCAATAGCTTTGCAACATATCCACTTGTACGTTATGATCAGTAGACTCTCATAGTTTTTTTGCCGATGTATTGGCAAACTCGGTTTCATTTTCGCTTGAATATCGATTCAAGTTTTCTTTCTGTGGAACATTTTGAGACGCACGTTATTCAACTCACGCTATGCATGACAAAGAAAAAGGTTCGAGCAGTTTTAGTGGCTTTCTAAACTATATAATGTATAGAAGGTAGGTATAGGAAGATTTTCTTTTGTTATTACTTTCTATTAGCCGGACCCTTTAACTTAGCCGGACCAATAGAAATTTTGAGTAAAGTATAACCGACATCTGTCGGTTCTCTCGGAATTGTGACCTGAATAGCATTTACAAGTTCTGCTGCGCTGGTAGGCGCTTGGAAAACCCGTGCGCCCTTATGTATTGAAATCTGGGTGATGAGAATTGATGGTGTGTTAATAACTGCAATTTCAAGATATTGTTCCTATTATGAAGATTAATTGCAAGATCGAGTAACATAACATTATCAGAAAAATATTTGATAAAATTTTTCCACAAGCGGAAGCCATATATATATATATATATATATATATATATATATATATATATATATATATATATATAT